GTGTGTTCGCATCCGCACATGGGCAGATATTATCTAGAGATAATAGGATGCTGGACTGACCCATTCTAAAGATGTTGCTTGAATTTTTAGTTCATGCTCTAAGCATCTTTAGCGCGACCACGGGTGTAACTATCCTTCGACTTGAAGTATTATGTTTTCTGCATATGTGAACCCGCATACTTTGATGCATTGTCCTAAGCCATATGAAATAAGGATGGTATACAGGCTTTGTTTTGGGTATGCCGCAGCACGTATTTAGAAACGTAGATTACGTATAAAGGATTTGTCACTACTCCTTTTAAAAGAGATTAATGTCTTATGGGCCCACTGATAAGTTATGATTGAGGAAATTGCATGGCCATGCTTAGATGCTTTTATGACGTCTGTTCCTATCAGTCACACTTGATAAATCAGTGAATGACTTAATGGATACAAGCTGGATTTTATTAATCCCTTGCATTAAGTCTAGACATTGAGACAAAGGGATATAGTTACGCGGAGTCTGAGTCGTGGAAAGGTTTTGACAGTGCAAACGTCTTAGCTTATAATCTGGGGGCAGTAATGTGTTGCTAGATACCGCTTACTGCTTATAGTATTGGTGCAGAGCCAATACTGTGGCCAGCTTTATAAGTGCCTATACGGGTCACACACTTTGGACAATTTAAGGAGTAGGATTAAACAATGGGATAATAAGTAATTTGTATATTTGTAAAATAGTAAAATAAAATATTTTGGAATATAATATTATATATATATAAATATTCGGTTATATATATATATTATATATATATGTGCCGATTAATATATATATATATATTATACTTGTTTATAAATGATATGGGTATTTTATTTGATTTAAAATTAATTTTATATTAATTTTTGGTGTCAAATAAAATACACTTTGAACATTTAAGTGGAGAAGAATTTCAAGAATCCTTCTCACTTTTCACAATCTACTTTCGGCCATGTGACATTACAAAGGACAATTTGCCTTTTTGATTTTGCATATATTTAAAGATGTTGAAATTTTCTAATTTGTCATTTTGTGTATTATTGATCTTTAAAATCTCTTTATAATAATGATACACAATATTGTATTGAAGCGAGAGTTTTCATTCGGCCATACCATTTCTTGAGAGAGAAAAATTCTTTTGTGTTCCATTAATATCATTTTGTGTATAGAAAATATCTATAATATTTTCTAAATATTATTAGAAATATTTTCTATAGAAATATACAAGATTATTATTATCCCAATTTTAATCTTTATATTTTATACTACTATAATCTTTACTAGCATAAAGATTGTGGTAGACTCCGGCGTTATTCGTGTGTCAAAGTTGGAGACCGGACGCTTGAACGGTTACGTTTGCACTTTCAACGCTCTTCTTACGACTTCTTCGTTTTTACCGCTTACGGAGAAAGGTACAAATTTCTTACTACTATAAGTTTTAGTACGTGATTCTGGGCAAGATAATCATGTTAGGATGTTAAAAAATTTTATATTCCGCTGCCTATCCTTGCATGGTTACCTTTCAATCTGTCCTTCATGGGCCGAAGAAGACCTTGAAGAAGAAGAATGTATCAGAGCGAACGAAGGAGAACTCTTGGTCATCCGTAGAACCTTGAGTAGCATGGCTGGTCTCGACGATCAACTACAACGGGAAAACATCTTCCACACCCGTTGCACAATGGCCATTTTCATTTTGCAATGGCCAAACTGCCCTTTTGCAAAATCAATTTAATGGCCTTTTTGAATATAATTTTGCAAAAGGGCATTTTGGTCATTTGAAATATTCTTGAATTTTTTTTTATGCTGGCCGAATATCCAGATTTTATAAAATGATTTTATAAAATTTTATTAGATTCATTTGGACATCTAATTTAATTTTATGAGTTTTAGAAAATATTTACTCCCGTAGTATTTTTCTAGAACTGTCTGGGGTGAGCGCGGTTCACCCGGTGTATGTATATCTCTATTCTTTGTGTGGATGTATGATATGCATGGTGGATGATTGTGGCTATAGTTTATTTGATTATAATACGGCCTGCGTGTCGTGCCTTATCTCATAAACTCTTGTTGTAAATCTATTTCTCTCTCTTACCTCAATCGAGGATTCTTTTCTCACGTGGTGGTTAGAAGACAAAAAGATTTGAAGACCGTTTGAATAAATCTAAAAGAATGGAGATAGCCGAAGTCCAAGTGCCCGGAAGCCAGTGGGAGCTATCGTTTTATTTTTCTTTTAGGGGCCACAATCATTACACGTTTATTTACTGCGTTTTGTGAATTCATGTTAAATGTATGTTGAACGCTAGTAATGGACATGTGCGCGACTATGTGTATAATTTGTCATGTTTTTAGTAATAAGTAATTTAACTATTGTGTGATGAATATTAGTGATATGACGAATACACTAATATTATAATTTTCGAGCACGAAGCTCTATCATAATTATTGAGAAAGTTGGAAATTCCAAGGCAATTATGGAATTATCAATAAGAAAATCAGTATTCAAGATTGACTACATATCATATTGAT